TGAGAACAGACTCTGTCTTAGCATGTACTAACACAATTAGCAGCTTGCAAGTTTCACACAGAGAGGGAGAGAAACAGTACCAAAAACCAAGAGACCTCTTAATTAGTAATACCCTGGAATTTAAACTATGGGGAATCAAACTCATTTGTGATTTTAATACAGAACTTCTTTAATATGATCCAACACCTCAGCCCATACATTTAGACAGCACTATGTCTTAGAACAGCAGGCAACATCTGATACCTCCTTCTCATGCTCTGTACTATCGAAGGTTATGACTTCAACGCCGAAGCCCCTCCTTCCATCGGAGGGCACTGCTCTGAAGTCACCTAAAGTGGAGCACCCAGAGGGACAGCACTCGAAGAAGAAGAGACGGTTACTCACCTTGTGCAGTAACTGAGGTTCTTCGAGATGTGTCCCTATGGGTGCTCCATTACCCTCCCTCCTCCCCTCTACTTCAGTTTCCTTATTAGTCTCTACAGTAGAGAAGGAACTGAGTGGGGGTTGGTATCATAGCGTCGGTTAATTGCCAGCAGCAGCGCGAGGCAGGGACCATGCATGTGTGACCCAACCAGGCACTGCTACCAAAAGTCTCCGACTACGAGCGCAGGGGCGCACAAACACCTACAATGGAGCACCCACACGGACACACATCTCGAAAAACCTCAGTTACTGTACAAGGTGAGTAACCTTCTCTTCTCTGGTGCATGGCTGAGAGCTTGGGGCTCAAGGTGCAGGAGATGGCAGAGCAGGAGGACACCCTCTTCAATGTCCTCTCAGCCTCTACGCCAACCCCGGTCGCCTTGCTCGTACACTATGCAGTCCTCAAAATAGCCAAGACCCTGTGACAGACCCACTCCTCCATCCCTCCCACCTCGAAAAGGGCAGAGAAAAAGTACCTTGTGCCGGCCAAAGATTTTGAATACCTTTATATCCACCCACCCACCCCCAGGCTCGCTGGTTGTGTCTGCGGCCAAAGAGAAGGACAAGCAGGTTCCCCCAAGAGTTTGGCATCCTAGTGGAGGAAGGTACTGTGGTGGCCAGATGTTCCCTGCAGATGGCATGGGACTCGGCGGCAAGGGTGGTCGCATTGGCGGTGGTCGTGTGACGAAGCTCCTGGCTCCAAATGGCGGGAATCTCCCAGGAGATGCAGGCCTCGACCCAGGACCTCCCTTTTGATGGAGTTAGTCCATTCTCCAGTCAAACAGGCCCCAGACTGCACAGGTTGAAAGACACTAGGGCTACCCTTCGCACATTGGACATGCACATGCCGCAATCAGCCAGGAAGCCGTTCCGGCCACCACCAGCTCCAAGACCCTGGCAAACCTACCAGGGATCTACAGGGAGAAGGACTGTAAGTTTTAGTTGTCGTCCCCCTTCTTCCTCCTGCTCACCAGCCCAGCCTGGCCCCACCAAACACCCAGGGGGCCAGAAGCGATACTTTTGAGGGTGCACCCAAGAGCGACACCCTAGTCAGTCAACCAGATCCTACCCCCTTTTCCTCAACCACCTCTCTCCCTACAGCTTGGCCTGGTCGCGGTTTACCTCGAACCACTGGATGTAGTAGCTCGGGGCCTAGACCTTACGATTCTTGGCCGCCCCTCTTTCCCGTCCCCCCACTTTCCTGTCCCTCTTTGGGGATGCTTCTCACAAGCAACTCCTCGTTCAGGAGGTTGAGAAGCTCCTGGGCTTGGGGGCTGTAGAGGAAGTTCCTCGGGACATGGAAGAAAGAAGATTCTACTTCCATTACTTCCTAATCCCGAAAGCCAAAAGGGGCCTCAGACCCATCCTGGACCTGAATAGCCTCAACAAGTCTCTCAAGAAGTTGAAGTTCTGCATGGTCTCCCTGGCCTCCATCATTCCTTCCCTGGATCCAGGGGACTGGTACACCACTCTCAACTTAAAGGACACTTACTTTCATGTCTCCGTGTTCACAGGGCACAGGCGTTTCCTGTGTTTCGTAGTAGCCAGGCACCACTTCCAGTTCACAGTGATACCCTTTGGCCTGTCCTCAGCCCCCAGGACATTCACGAAATGTGTGGCACCATTGCAGCTTACCTGAGACGTCGAGGGGTCCAGATCTTCTTGTATTTTAACGATTGGCTCATCAGGGGCAAGTCTCCAGAGCAGGTGCAATGGAGCCTCGATCTGATGCAGTCCATCTGCAACTATCTGGGCCTGTTAATAAACAGAGAGAAGTGCACGTTAATGCCAGTTCAGTGCATAGAGTTTATTGGAGCAGTTCTCGACTCCACGCAGGCCAGGGCCTTCCTTCCAGAAGTGTGTTTTTAGGCATGTCGGACTTGATCGCCCACATAAAGAGCCATCCGCTCACCACGGCTCACACATGCCTGCGATTGATGGGCCACATGGCTACGTGCACATACCTGGTCAGTCATGCCCGACTTCATCTGCGGCCTCTGCAGGCGTGGCTGACCTCAGTCTATAACCCCAGCAGGCATGCCCTGGACTGAGTGGTCATGATACCAAGCCACGTCCTCTCATCCTTGGACTGGTGGCTGGACCCTGAGTCGGTGCTGGAGGGGGTTCCCTTTGTGACCCCGTCTCCCACCTTGGTCTCGGACGCGTCAGACCTGGCCTGGGGAGCCCACTTGGGCAAGCTCAACACCCAGGGCCGCTAGCTACCAAACGATCTAGCCCTTCTTATCAATGTCCAGGAGCTCAGAGCAGTTCGCCTGGCGTGGCCAGCCTTCTTTCCCCACCTGAAATGTGGTGTAGGTTTTGACTGACAATACAGCCACGATGTATTACATCAACAGACAGGGTGGCATCAGATCTTCGGCCCTTTGTCAGGAGGCACTCAGCCTTTGGGACTTTTGTATGTGGTATGCCATTCATCTGGTAGCCGCCCACCTGCCTGGAACCAGGATCGTCCTGGCAGATCACCTCAGCAGGGCCTCCTCGTCTCACCACGGATGGTCGCTTCATCCGGAGGTGGTCAGCCTAATCTCCCACAGATAGGGGACTCCCCAGGTGGACCTGTTTGCGTCTAGGCAGAACAGAAAGTGCCACATGTTCTGTTCTCTTCAGGGCAGGGACAAGGGCTCCCTGTCAGATGCCTTCCTGATTCCGTGGTCAGGAGCGCTGACGTATGCCTTCCCGCCGGTGCCATTGATCCACAAGATACTTCTAAAGGTGAAGCAAGACAGAGCATCGGTTATCCTCATAGCCCAAGTGTGGCCTCATCAACACTGATTCGGTATGCTCCTGAGTCTTTTGGCAGCTACCCCATTGCAGCTGCCTCTTAGGACGGATCTGCTGTTCCAGAACCATGGCAACCTGCTGCACCCGAAGCTGGCGTCGTTGCACTTGACAGCTTGGCTGCTGCATGGCTGAGTATGGACGAACAGGAGTGCTCCACTAGTGTCCAGCAAGAAGCCTTCCACCAGGGCTACCTTTTTGGCAAAGTGGAAGCGGTTCACGTGTTGGTCCTTGGACCGACACATTCGTGCAGAAGAGGCCCCGCTGCAGGACATCCTGGACTATTTACTGCACCTTAAGCACCAAGACCTGTTGCTATCTTCAGTCAAGGTACACCTGCGGCTGTTTCGGCATTCCACCCTCTGTTTCAAGGCCGGTTGGTCTTCGCTGATCCCATGATGGCATGGTTCCTGAAAGGCCTGGAATGCCTTTACCTGCATGTCCAGGATCCAGTTCCCCCTTGGGACCTGAAACTTGTGCTGTCAAGGCTCATGGGTCCCCACTTCGAATTCTTGGCTTCCTGCTCCCTCCTGCTGCTCTCCTGGAAGGTTTCCTTCTTGGTCGCTGTAACTTCGGCTCGTAGGGTGTCTGAGATCAGGGCACTCACGTCATAGCCTCCCTATATGGTCCTGAATGCAGGCTGCATACCATGGATGTCAGACAGGCTCTGGCCTTCTACATTGATAGAACAAAGCCATTCCATAAGTCAACGCAGTTGTTTGTTGCTGTCGCAGACAGGATGAAAGGTTGCCCAGTGTCAGCCCAGAGAATCTCATTTTGGATTACAGGCTGCATTCACTACTGCTATGAGCTTGCAAAGGTGCCCTTGCCGACAATCGTGACGGGTCATTCGACTAGGGCACAGGTGTCATCAGCAGCCTTCCTGGCGCAGGTGCCGATCCAAGAGATCTATCAGGCTTCCACCTGGTCGTCCGTCCACACATTCACATCTCACTACGTGCTGATCTAGCAGGCTCAAGACGATGCTGGCTTTGTCAGAGCAGTGCTGCAAGCTGCAAGACTGTGAACTCCACGCCCACCTCCGTTGATTCTGCTGGTGAGTCACCTAGAATGAAATTGACATGAGCAAGTACTCGAAGAAAAACTGTTACCTACCTTTCATAACTGTTGTTCTTCAAGATGTGTTGCTCATGTCCATTCCATTACCCACCCTTCTGCCTCTCTGTCGAAGTTGTCGGCAAGAAGGAACTGAGAGGGCGTAGGGCCGGCAGCGCCTGATATGCTGCAGCCTGAAAGGGACGCTCCAGAGGGCGCCACAGCTGGCCCTATGAATACCGCTAAGGCAAAAATCTCCAGCCATGCACGTGGGCATGTGTACGCCTAGAATGGAATGGACACGAGCAACACATCTCGAAGAACAACAGTTACGAAAGGTAGGCAACCATTTTTTCTTTCCAGTCATACTGTAGAAAAAATCTAATAAAATCTAAAATGCATGCTTGTATAGGTACCGAAACAGTACTTACAGTCCAGGAGTGTTGTTCTAAATGCAAATCTTTGCCACTGTGGTTTCAAATCCTGAAGCCAGTAATTTGTATAGCTCTAATGAAGTGGTGAATGAAAAAAGGTTCTGTGTAGTTGATGGCCTAAGCTATGATGTGTTGTTTATTTAATAAGATGTAATTTGCAAATAAACAGCCTAGGTTCCTGAAGGTTTTTTCCCTCAGTCTTAAGAAAATTATTTTAGATTGTGTTTCTGGAGTCCTTTCAAGTATTTCAAGTGTGACACTGACATTTTCTTTCTCAATTGTTTTTAGATGTTAAGGAGGAAGATAAATCCAAGGACAGTAGCGGTGAAAAGACAGACACCAAAGGGTAAATCCCTCAGTATTAAACTGTAAAATATTTGTGCTGTAGAGAACATTCATTAACTTTCAGTGATTTTCCACAGTTAACATATCTTCTGTACAGATGGCTATATATCAATGTGAGGTTATAAATCAGTGTCAGGAGTTACTAAAATACTTTAAAATGTGTGATGGGGAGCTCTAATTGCATCTTTATCAACAGCTAGTCTAAAAGACACTCTCAAAATGAAATTATGCCCTGTTTAATAGTTCTATATCTTTTGCCTTTGAACAGAGCGAAATCAGAACTGCTCAGCAATCCTTGAATTAAAGATAGCCTCACACCAATTACAGAACACAATACTAGAGTGGGAAAATACTAAAAGAAGAAGAGTTTTTTCATGTTGAGAGAGACTGCTGATTTCATTTTGTACTATTTGGCATGGACTGTATTTATTTTCATTCGGCTTTGTTTTGGTTTTTGGCAAGTTGTATTGTGAGTTTTCTAATTATGAAGCAGAAATTCCTTTCTTCACCATGCTTTATGTAATAGTATTTAAAATGGATGTGAGTTATTATGTTAAATGTCTAAACTGATCTATTAAAGTAATTTGCCTTTCCTGAGCTGATTTTACCTTTTTGTAATTATATCTTTATTAAAAAAAATTGTACTTGTTTCTCTTTTGTCCATCATTGCATTATATAGAAAGCATTTCCATATATAGTAAAGATAAACAGTCAGTTGCTGGGAGATTTAAGAGGACAGTCTGTATGTACGTACGCTGATCTGTGCACGTTGTAATGACTCATAATACATGGACTGTGAAACAGTGACTGATGTACCTATTATACTTACAGTAAATAATGGAAAAGTAGGTATGGGGACATTGTGCCTGGATGTATGAGCATAACATTTGGAAGCAGAAGGTTAAAACTCTGCACCTCCTGGTTGGATTGTATAACAGGACAAATGCCTTATACTCTAGCAGCAGTATACTCTGCTGTTTGTCTTGTTATGGATTAATTTGATAACCAGCAATTAAGTCCTGGATTGGGTGTACTGCAGAATCCCTTCTGACCCTTAGAACTTCAAGCTGCAAAGAACCATATCCCTTTTTTTAAACAAAACTTTGTTTGTTCGTTTCCCCTTTTTTTCCTTTTGAACAATTAGTCAGTCAATCCTGGCACCTGAATTTGTGATCCTGTTATATAGGTTCCTCATTCTAGATTAATAATCTCCATACCAGCCAGCTTGCTTCACACTAGAGAGAAATGTGGGGAAACTGTATGGACACTTTATTCACTAAGAGTAGTGTTATCCTTTCTTGCAAGGAAATATTCATTATTAGTGTTCTTTTCTTTCCCTTTCCTTTTTCCCATTTCTTCCTTCTCCTGTACCCAAAAAAAGTGCAGTTAAGTGTAGTCTCTTCCCTGTTGCTTCATAGTTCAAGGATTTCCACTAATAAGAATTATGCATTCATGGCATCTTTAGAAGGTTTATAGTAAAGATAACATGACCAAGTAATTTACATCCTTTCCTTGTCACTAAGGAGAAAGCTGATAATTTTTGAAGGTTTGAGGAGAAAAGGATTGAAGCGGTCTGTCTCCAAGACTGGAGTACTATAATAAAAGGACTCATTAATCCATATTTTCCGAACAAACTCTTCAGCTTTCTACTGTATTTAGTAATTCCACTTTGAGCATTTGGACATGGTGGGCCAAAATTTAACCTAATGACATGGAGATTAAATGTACATTGCTGCAAACTGCAGAAAAAATGTTGTAATTTTTTTTTCAACTATACAATGTGTAAGTACAGTTCTTCTTCAAGTGATTGTTCATGTCCATTCGAAGCAGGTGTGTGTGCGCTGCGTGCACGCCAGTTGGAAATTTTTTTTAGGGTCGGCCTGGGTGCCCCCTGGGGTGGTGCCTTCATGGTGCCCAATATCTGGCCCCACCAACCCCCTACCCCCTCAGTTCCTTCTTACCGCCTGTGACGGCTATCTGGAACTTTGCTCGCTCTTGCAGCAAGTGCCTTAGCAGTGTCTTTGTTCTTAGTGTAAATAGTTTTTCTATATAGTTGTACTTATCACATAGTAGTGTTTGGTAGATAGTTAGTTTCCCCTCTGGGGGTATGTCCGGGTCTCCTGGGTTTAAACTCTGTGAGTCCTGTGGCAAGTTTATGCCCAAGAGTGATCCTCACTCGTCCTGCTTGCTGTGCCTTTGTGAGACTCACCAAAAGGACAAGTGCCGCATTTGCAAGGGTTTCCGCCCAAGAACCCTTAAGGACAGAGAGCAGAAACTGAAACTCCTGCTCATGGAGGCGGCTCTGAGACCGCAATCGGACCCAACGACCCGGCACCGAGCAGGTCCTCTTCGGTGCGCAGCACTCCGGCACCAACGGCGCACGAAACTGGCCAGACTAAGGACTGTAAAGCCCACTGGCACCGCCACTATTCGGAACATAGGGCGTCGGCATCAGTTCTCCATCTCCGATGCCGGTAAAGAAGAAGAGGCCCGCGAGGGATCGATCACCATACACCCTCCTCTCCCCCCCCCGAAGCCTAAGGGGCCGATGTCATCCGCGAGTGGCTCGGCACAGACCACGTCCACCTTGCTTCCACCCAGGGTCTCGTCGACTCCTATCTCGGCTGGGATCCAGTCGAGTCCGAACCCTCCTCAGTCCCCGGACCATCTGGTGAACATACAACCACCATTGATGCCGGAGGCGTTTGAGGCGGCAACGGACCTGATGCGCCTCCCGGTGCCGTCCTTCCCCCAAAGGAGGGACAAGTCTCTGGCGACCGCATGGCCCCTGTTTCACTCCAGGGGCAAGCCAACCATGATGGCTCGTCGGTCTCCATCTCCGGCACCGCCCGCACAGACACAGGAAGCACGCCGCTCCCCGGAGTCAAGTCGACGTTTGTTGGCGACCCAGGGGATTGCTCCTCCATGGTCGTCTTATTCGGAGACCTCAGAGTAGGAGGTAGACTCAGCTCCTTCGAGCAGATCGCACAGCAGAAGATCCCGGTCCCGGCGCAGTCACCAACCGTACCCGGCACCATGGCAACAATAGTGCCAACCACCTGCTCAATGGCCCTTTTGGACACCCTGGGCGTACCATCAGTCAGGGTCAAGTCCATCGTCCGTGCTCCAGAACAGTGTCTGTCTGTGTCCTCGACGTCGTTTGTGCCACAGTCAGTGCTGGCACTGCCGATGACCGCGCCACCCTTGACTGGAGTGGCCCCGCCTACTCACATGGTTTCGGCACCAATGCCTCAGCCAGCCCTGGCACCGGCTCCCCAACTGACAGCACCGGTGGAAGCCTCAGCTCTGCCCCTACCAATCTCGACAGTCTCGGTCCCACCGATTTTACCTTCCCCGTCACCGGCTCCAATGCAGAGTTCTTCATTGGCGCCGGTTCCACAGACCGAGTACCGCATGCCAAAGGACCCCGGGGGGGCTGAAGGCAGTGAACTGGGTCCACCTCTGGTTCTCTTTTTTCCTCATCTTCACCTGACGAAGCGGTCGTGGGGACTTCGACGGCCCCAGCCTTGTAGGACAATCAGGTTCTTCAACAGTTTTTGAGGCGGGCCACCCAAAGCCTGGGGATTCAGGCAGAGGAGGTAGAAGAAGACTTAGACCCGGTCATAGACATCCTGGCTCCCTCTGGCCCATCCAGGGTTGCGTTGCCATTTATCAAGTCAATAACTCAAAGGTCTAAGAACTTGTGGCAAACCCCTGCTTCTCTGGCACCTACAGCCAAGAAATCTGAGCGCCGCTACTTTGTTCCCTCTAAAGGGAATGAACACCTTTATACCCACCCTCCTCTGGGTTCCTTGGTGGTCGATGCGGCCAATCAGAGAGAACCTCAGGGGTTTCAAGGCTCCTCCCGTAAAAAGAGGGATGCCAAGAAACTGGACCTGTTTGGCCGGAAGGTCTAATCCACAGCAGGTCTACAGCTTCATATAGCCAACCAACAGGCCACAGTAAGCTGCTACGGACATAACACCTTCTCATCCATGGCAAAATTTACAGAGCTTCTGCCCCAGGAAGCTCGGGAGGAGTTCTCTGCACTCGTGGAGGAGAAGTTGGTCTCCCGAGCGTCTTTACAAGCGGCCCTGGACACGGCGGATGCAGCCTCTCGCACTTTGGCCAGAGGGGTGGTTATGAGGAGAGGCTCCTGGCTACAGGTCTCTGGTCTTCCCCACGAGGTCCAACAGACCATTCAAGATCTTCCTTTCAGAGGTGTTGCTCTCTTCTCCAAGAAGACAGCTAAGAGACTTCACAGCTTGAAGGACTCGAGGACTACCCTTCATTCGCTGGGGCTTCACACGCCTGCTACTCAGCGCAGACAGTTTAAGCCTTAACCTGCTCCTCATCCTTATCAACCCCAGAACCGCCAGGACGCTCCACGAAGGCGGAACAGGAGCACTCGGAGGACGCAACATCCTCCCTCTGAGCAAAACTCGGGCCAGCCTAGGACCCCACAGGGCTCTAGACCACCCTTTTGAGGGTACGGTCGAGGACAGCTTGCCAATTTGACCTTTAGATCCTTCCAGTCTTACTTTCTCGTCCCATCTATCCCCTTTCTACTGTGCCTGGTCTCAAATTACTTCGGACCGCTAGGTGCTCCGCACGGTAGAAAGGAGATATTCCATCCAATTCTGTACCCTCCCGCCCCCCCAACCCCCTTCCCCGTCCCTCTTCAGGGACCCCTCTCACAAGCAAATTCTGTGTCAAGAGGTGCAGTACCTCCTCTCGGTAGGGGCAGTGGAGGAGGTTCCTCAGGAGCTAAGGTGCAAGGGTTTTTACTCCCGGTACTTCCTAATACCGAAGTCCATGGGGGGCCTCAGACCCATACTGGACCTGCGACAACTCAACAAGTACATAAAGAAACTCAAGTTTTGCATGGTTTCACTAACCTCCATTATCCCCTCACTGGATCCAGGAGACTGGTACGCCACCCTCGACTTGAAGGACGCGTATTTTCATATCGCAATAGTCCCACAGATGCTACCTCAGATTCGTGGTGAACACAGGCCACTACCAGTTCGCCGTCCTCCAGTTCAGATTGTCGACTGCCCCGTGAGTATTCACAAAATATATGGCAGTCATTGTGGCGTTCCTGTGCAAGCGCCAAATACAGGTTTTCCCATACCTCGACAACTGGCTGATCAAGGGTTGCTCGAGGGCCCAGGTGGCGGCTCAGGTCGAGTTTATAAGGAGGATCTTCCTCGACTTAGGTCTCCTCCTAAATGAGGAGAAATCCACTCTGTCCCCAGTGCAGAGGATAGAGTTCATAGGCGCAGTCCTGGACTCTACTCAAGCCAGAGCGTACTTCTCGGAGGCCAGGTTCTCGCTCACGTCAGGACATCATACAAGGCCTCAGACAGTTCCCCACGACGTCGGCAAGAAACTGTCTAAAGCTGCTGGGACATATGGTCTCATGCACTTATGTGGTGCAGCATGCCAGGCTCAGGCTGCACCCACTCCAGTCTTGGCTGGCGTCAGTGTACCGACCAGCCCGAGATGCATTGGACAGGGTCGTAACCCTGCCCCGCCTGGTACTGGACTCCCTCCTGTGGTGGCTCAACACTCGAATGGTTTGCACAGGCGTACCTTTTGTCAGCCCTTGCTCACCTTGGTGTCAGACACCTCGGATCTGGGTTGGGGG